TCTGTAATCCCAGCAGCTTGTGAGACTGAGGCAGGAGGATCCGAGTTCAAAGCCAGCCTCAGTAATATAGCGAGTGGCTAAGCAACTCATTGAGACCCTATCTCTAAATAAAATATAAAAAAGGGCTGAGGATGTGGCTTAGTGCTTGAGTGCTCCTGAGTTCAATTCCTGGAACAACAACAACAACAACAAAAAATGGAGTCAGCATACAATAGCAATACGTATATACTCAAGTTTATAGCAGCACAGTTAAATAGCCAAACTATGCAATCAGTCTAGGTGTCTACCAATAGATGAATGAATAAAGAAAATGTGGTGTATATACACAATGAAGTTGTATTCAGGCATAAAGAAAAATACAATTATATTATTTGCAGGAAAATAGATGAAACTTGAGAATATTATGTGAAATAAGCCAAAGTCAGAAGGTCACAGATCATATGTTTTCTCAGATGTGGAAGCTAGAGAGGAAAAAAAGTTGGGGTTGGGGGCTCTAATGAAAATTGAAGGGTGATCCACAGAGACAAGAAAAGGGACCAGTGGGAGGGAGGAGAGAAGGAAAAGGGGAAATACTTGGGAATGGTATTGGCCAAATTACATTGTAATATTGTGTGCATGTACAAATACATAACAACAAATCCCACCCTTATGTATGACTATAACGCCCCTATAAAAATATGATAAAAAATTCAATCCCATTCAGTTGTAGGTGCAGGAAAAAAAAACCACTTTCATTCCCTGTATTGTCCTTATCCTGTGTGTATTTGGTTTCTTATTCTATGATTAATTTATGAATGTATGTGTTCTCTGAAGGACTATGAGCTTCATGAAAACAGATGTTGCATGTGTATTGGATTAGTGCTGCTCGTAGAGTTTGCATATATTAAGTGCTTAAAAATACGTTTCTAACTTAACGGGCGAATGACATACTTGCCATGTGATTATCTGGTGCCTATTATATGTGTAAGTTGTATGTAATTGAATGTTTTCACAGAATGTTAGAGAAAGCCAAAGTTATCTTTTTTTTTTTTTTTTGTAACAGGAATTGAACTTAGGGGTGAGTTCAAACACTGAGCCACATCCTCTGCCCTGTTTTGTATTTTATTTAGAAATAGGGTCTCACTGAGTTGCTTAGTGCCTCCCTTGTGCTAAGGCTGGCTTTGAACTCGCTATCCTCTTGCCTCAGCCCCTGAGCCACTGGGATTAAAGACGTGTGCCACCATGCCTGGTAAAGTTATCTTCTTTTTAAAACATAAAAACCATGTCTGAAAGATTGAGTTATTTGTCCTAGCTCATGTGATTTAAATGGCAAACTTGGCATTCCAACKTTGTTTCTTCCTGACCCTTTATAGTGATACCCAGGGACTTAGCAAACATACTGAAAAGTAGGTTTTAAACTCCATTTATTCTCTAGTTTACCTTTGTTAATTTTCAATTTTAAGTTAAAGGTTGGCATAATTTATGCACAAACTGCAATTTATAACAAGATGAGTCTTGAATTAGCACATTTTTGAAGGCATCATGGTGCTGGTGACAGGAAAAACTGGAGGCATGTCAACTTCTCAGGAAGGAGCCACATTTTCATATCAAACTGTGAGCTAGGCCTTTATCCTCAATATGCAATTTAACTACCCACCATCCATTAATTGACCCATAATTCATTTATACCTTCAATGGCAAATAGTTTTCAATATATCCTTTGGCAAGCCTTGGTTGAGTGAGGGAGACTGAATCCACTCTGTGCTCTTAACAAGATTTGCAGACTACTGGGAGAGACTCCCATTACTCATATGACTGCAGATAATTGTCAGTCTCACAGGTGACAACATAATAGGGCTACATGCAACATGACAGAATAGAACAAGAGGAGCTGCCCTAGTTTAAGGCATCAGAGAAGTCTCCACAGAACTCAGGCAAATGGCCCCCACTAGCACGATTAGACTGGACAGCAGGTCTGCCTGGCTTGAAAGCCCAGTCCCATCCCTGAGGAACACAAGGCTACCTCATGGCAACCAAAGTCCTTCCTGATGCTTCAGTTTTCCCCAGGAACTCCTGAGCAATGGACATTGAGTCATTACTCAATCACTGACATCCTTTCAAACAGTTTTTCTTTTCTAAACCACAAATGCAGAAGTGCTTTCCCTGTGTCTGAGTTTCATAAAGCTGCTCAGMGACTGTTAATACCAACTCATCATCCCAGTGTCCGATCTTCAGAGTTCTAAGGCATTGAATATGTCTGGTGTGCCTCTGATAGGGTGTGGGGGTGGCTGAAGTGACTGGAGCAGCCTGCCCAGAGGGCAGCTTCATGCTGAGGATCTAGTGGAATTTGGCTAAGATTGATTTGTAGCTGATCTCTGCTTCACTCACAAGAATGCTCAGCCTCAGGCCTCTCATATCAGTCTAGATCATTTGGACTTTCTTTCCTAGGCAATGGAAAGCAGTTAAAACAATTGTTGAGAGAAGTTACTGAGAGAATGATTGGAAAATTCTCTTAGCAGTGAAAGAGATGTTTCACATTCCCCAGGGTCCACAATTCATATGGGAACAGGATCCAGGTAGAGGTTAGAAGGAATGAGTAGTCAGGCAGGCAACGATAGGCAGTGCTTGGAATGGTGAAGCCCTGGAGTGTTCTTATCCTGTTGAGAAGAGCCACTGAACCTGACTCCCTGGGTGTTGCCTTAAAGAAATGCAGACCATGCTTACCAGATACTCCCATATTTCACAGGGAAGATAGGAATCTAGACTTTTAGGTTGAAAAATCCCAACTTTTATAACTTGGCAACTAATTCAAAACAGTGGCACAGTGCAGAACAATCCAAATAGGCTGAGTGCCAGCATGCTAGCATTAGCACTCTGGTCCTAGTTGGCCAACTGAACTTTTGGTTTATGTCCTTGTTGCAATGACCATTCCCACCCCCACCCCACCACACACACAGTGACTGTTAAGATTCTGGGGAGAGTCTATAGCTAGACACTCAAATAGGTAGTCACTTCTACTGTGAAATAAAAYGTGACCAGTATTCACACAAAAATCAGTCAAGGGAAGTTTGTAAAATACTCTAAAACATTGCTACATGCAAAATATTTCTGGAGAAGTTCCCCCAAAACACAGGCAACTGAAGGAAAATAGACAAATGCTAAAAAGACTTCTACATAGGAAAGGAAATAATMAAAGGAAATAATTAAGGTGAAGAGACAATCTATGGGATGAAAGAAAATATTTGCAAATCAGGTATCTGACAAAGATTAGTGTGCAGAATATACAAGGAACTCAAACAACTGAACATCAGAAAAACCGACAATCTGATGAATAAATAAGACAATGGCCTGGTGTGGTGGTGCACTCTTGTAATCCCAATGAYTTATAAGGCAGAGTCAGGAGGATAGATAGTTTGAAGCCAGCTTCAGCAACTTAGCTAGACCCTGTCTCAAAATAAAGAAATAAGAGGAGGACGGGTGTCTTAGCTCAGTGGTAAAGCATCCTGGGTTCAATCCCCAGTACAATACATAAACACATGGACTTACACACACACACACACACAAAAAAAAAAAAAAAAACAAAAAACAAAACCCACACACAAATAGGCTAATGGTCTAAATGACATTTGCAAAAGAATATATGGAAATTGCAGAATAGTCTATGAAAAAAATCTCAACTTCACTATTCTTCTGGAAAATGCAAAGCAAAATCATAATTATATACCATCCCACACCAGTTCAAATGGCTATCATCAAAAGACAAAAATTATCAGATGCTTGTGAGAATCTGGTGAAAAGGGAACTCTTGCCCACTATTGGTGGAAATCCAAGTTAGTGCAGCCACTATGGAGAATAATWTGGTGGTTTCTCAAAAAATGAAAAATAAGACTTCCCTCTGATCAAGCAATCACACCTCTGGGTATAAATTCAAGACAAAGGGAATCAGCATGTCACAATGACATCTGTAGTSCCACCTTCATTGCAAGATTATTCACAAGGACTATAAAATGGAAACTCCCCAAGWGTCCATCACCTAATGATTGTATAAAGGTGTGGTGCATATGCACAATGGAATACTAGTTAGCCATAAAATGCAATGAAATTCTGTCATTTGCAACAACATGGATGGAACTGGATGTTGTTATGTTATGTGGAGTACACCAGGCATAGAAAGACAAATACATCATGATCTCACTCCTGAGTGTTATCTAAAAAAGTTGATTTCACAGAAGGAGAGAGTAGGACAGAGTCCCCAGAGGCTGGGGAGAGTGGGGATAGAGAGAGGTTGGATCACAGTTACCTAAATGTAGACAGGAGGAACATGTTCGATAGCACAGCAGGATGATCATAGTTAACCAAACTTACCTATGTTTCAAAGTAGCTGGCAGAGAAGATTTTGAACGCTCCCCCCAGAAGGTAATGATAAAGTGCTTGAGGTTCTGGGAATGCCAATTACCCCGACTGATCACAGTTTTTATACATGTCTGGAAAAATCTCACTGGACCCTTTAATACATGCAATAATTATGTCAATTAAAAACATAATAAAAAAAACTCCAACAAACCCATTGAACTGTACAAGGTTAGGGCCAAGGTTAGGGCCCAGTCTGCAGAGGGTTCAGAGCAGGCTGAGAAAACTTTGCTCTTGAGGAGGGCCTTTGTCAGTTGGCAGATTCAGTAGRCACCCCAGTTTCCCAGCCTGAGGCAGTGAGGGGGCCAAGTCTCTGCAGCTTCTTGATAAGGAATCTCTGCCTAACATCTCTGTATAAAATCTCAGGAAGAGAAAGGAACATGTCTGTAGGACAGATTGTGAGTAAATGACAGCAGAGGAGCAGAAACAGATACACAGAGATCTAGATTGTCTGCAAAGAGGTTTATTGCACAGCTCACAGGGTGCTTCAGCTCAGCAAAGCTTGAAAGGGGCTGGGGACTGGTTGCATGAGGACGGGAGCTGATATCCAGGGTGGACAGAGGGCTTGGGAGCTGGTAGATGAGCCATGCCACAAAGTGCTGATCCAGGAGCTAATATATCCCATCCAAGTGAACCGGAACAAGTAGATATGGGGTACTGTCCTGTGGAGATTTCATTTCACAAGCAACTACATAGAACTTGGTTGCTGCTACATTTCGATATGTGCAGTTGTTATAATTCTTTGTTCTTTTGATGATATCACAGTTAACTAAAGGCACCTGAACTGAACTGTTATGACAATTTGTTCTGGTGACATTACGACAGGTTATATTTGGGGTTCCACAAACTTGAGCAACAGCGGCAAAACTTGTATGTAGAAATGTATTTTTGCCTTTGCATCGACCTGTGTATCCRTTAACTACCCGCATTGCATCATCACATCGGGGGTGGGTCATATTTAAGTGCTGGATTTCAAACCACTGAGCCCAGGTTAAATGACCTGGTGGGGCCTGAGATGAGATAATTATTCCCATGAACCCCAGGAGCAGCAGGAGCCAAAGTCGTGAGCCCAGCAGCTTTGGAACCATGATCCTGTGAGCAAAGAAGAGAGATAACTAGTACTGCATCCTGGCTCAGTTACCATTTGCTTTTCCTCTTTCAACCAGCAGTCCCCTCTGCTATCACTGTGGGGTCATATTTCCATTTGCTTTCTATCCCTAAAGTGTACCCAAGTCTCTTGGGTACTAATTTTCATTCAGCCCTCCCTCAGGTACTGTCCCACTACAGCCCCTTCTATCCCAGGTCTAGGGCTTAATGCCTTACCTAATCTCTGTGCTGTGGCTCCTGTGAGAACAGAGCCAGCTGGTTATCCCAGGATTCAGAGGTTGTGGGTGCCTCAACTGGGTTTGTAGATATATATATATATATATATAGCAGCCCCTGTGGGTGGGGTTGCTAGAGCCAGGTGGGTCCTGATATCTTGACCATGCAGAAACCCACTGATTGGTACATGGCTCCCTTGTGCAAACAGCCTTCCTGTTTCATTACTTGGTAATGAAAGTAATGGGTACTCAACTGCTATTGTAGCTCTAATTGCTACTATTCCAACAGATCTAAGGTATCCGGTGCCAACCAGAGCTTTCCCTGTTGACATGGGATCTCCTGTTGAAGAATATATCATGGCTGCAGAATGACCAGAGATTTGACAACTCTGCTTAAAGGCAGRCCAAGAATGGAAACACAGAAACCAGGAAAGGCTGTTTGCACAGCAAGGGCCCACGTTCCCCTTTCGTCTTTACCATTCTTGGCAGTTTGTCGCACACATGTTCTCCATCCCTTCATCTTCCTCTGCAGTAAACYGGTTTTTAAAAAAATTTCTTTCTGTTCAAAATTCTGTCAGGTAATTGAAATAATTTGTTACATATTTAGTATAATTTATAATACTATATATTATAATTATAGCATATAAATTTGTTATACATCAACTTATTAAAATCATTTGTTACATATATTCAAATTCCTCCCCTGTATTCTTCTTTTGTGGAATTCATCTGTTCTGGTGTTAACTCTTGCCCTGAATATTATTTTCACTTTTTGAAAAGTTGCATCACCTTAAAGTAGAAGAAAGCCATTCTGTTCAATTTGCCCCAGAGTGAACACTGGGGGTGATAAAGGATTCCGATGTAGCACTTAGAATTCCTGCATTCTTTTCAGTCTGTGCTGTTTTTCACAAAATGTTGAGCCTTCGATTGTCAGTTACCTATTTCATTTTGTGATATTAGAAAGAAAATTCTCCATTTGTAAGAAAACAAAACAAAAAAAGCAAACCACAAACAAAACAAGCAAACCACAGACAGGGTCCTGTGTTCCTGAAAGGMTAGATGTCAGGGTACATAATTTTATAAGTGAAACACAGTTTTTCTCGGTCCTCCTGAGAAGCACTGGTGAATAAATTTATTACAATGTGACAGAGGTGACGACCCAGATCTGAGCATGGTTTTTGGGCACTGGGGATGAGGTCACCCCCTCATGGACAAGGAAGGGTGCCAGCAGAAAGTGCCACCCTTGAAGTGCTATAAAGGTTAGGTAGGGGTTTGCAGGGACTCTTGGGACTTTAGGGAGAAAGATGAGTGTTTTGGGGAAAGGTGTGGGAAATTGCTCAGGGTGGAGACATGAACTGCAGGGGGCAGGGAGACCTGGGTGCTAAGAGAAGTTAAATCTCTGCTCCAGCTTCCAGGTTAGAAAACTGGACTTAGACCCTTAGATGGAATCAAACACTGTTCTAGCCAGATTAGTCCACCTAATGCTTTAGTGTTCTACCTTCCTGTCATCTGGAAATGCAATCATTTTATTATTGATGTCCTTATGTAAATTGGGACATAATGGTGACCTGATAGGAGCTGTTACAGCCAAATTAAAATACACACCAGGCCTGAGAAATCCTTGAGCAGACAAAATGTATTTTCAAAGAGGCCTTAAAAATAGTCTTACCCGGGGTTGTGGCTCAGCTGGGGTTGTGGCTCAGCTGGGGTTGTGGCTCAGTGGTAGAGCAGTCACCTAGTACATTCAAGGCGCTGGGTTTGATCCTCAGCACCACATATAAGTAAATAAAAATTTAAAAAGTTATTAAAAATAACCTTATCCTTGCTAAAACTGACAACATAAATGAAACTCAACTTGGATCAATTCTGGTAAATATTGACTTTAGAAGTTAAGCAAAATCTGCCAATCCTAAGCAGTCAGCTCTCATATGTGACAAYGGATTTTTTAAATAAAAAATGTGTTTTTGTAACCAATCAAATAATTTATTTCACTTGCACATTTTCCCACGTAATGTTTGCTTCTAAGGCTTTGTCATCAGAGCACTAACTTTTTTTGTTTGGTGTTTCCCAGTGTATAAATTACTTATTACTCAAATAGGCTGTTTAAAATTCTCTGGTGCCTCAGTTTACTTTTTAGCAATTTGGTGTCAAAAAAGTAGAATGTGGGTAGGTGTGGTGGGTGTGGGTCAGGAATCCCAGCTATTTAGGAAATTGAGGCAGAAGATAGAAAATTCAAGCCCAGCCTGGGTGGCTTTGTGAAATTCTGTCCCAAAATAAAAAAAATCAAAGAGACTGGGGATATAGCTCTGTGTAGAGTGCCCTTGAATTCAATCCCCAGTGCTACCAAAAAAGAAAAAAAGAGTAGATTCTAAAGGGGAACTCATGAGACCCCTGAAGCAACAAGTAACCAAGTATAGTCTGGGCCGTATGCTCACTGTTTTCTTGCTTTGTTTGATAGTCTCTCTGCAAGGTCCAGCTCTACAGCTTGAGTCCTGAACTGAGTTTATTTGATTAATTTTAGGATCGTTGAACTCTCTCTCCCTGTATTTCCCTGTTTCTCTGTTTCTCTTTTTCTGCTGAGCTGACTCTCTCCCTGGTGTGTCCCTGACCAGCTGCTTCCCGTTCCATTTAGATTTCCTTCCCTGGGTTGGGCCCTTCCTGTTCATGCTCTGTGCTGTCATTTCCACAACACATTCAGAACCTCTACATTGTGCTGCTCTGCGTAATTTTCCTCCCAACACTTAACACAACATTGTGTGTTTATTCTTGCTACAGTACCATGCAGTCTGTTTATTTTGCTCTGTCGCCCCCCTAGAACTGGGCCAGGAGCATAGCATCTGATCAACAGATGTTTGCCGGATGATGGAATATACTGATGAATGAATAAAAGATGAGGATGCTTCTTTTTTGGGCCTGTAGATATGCAACAGCTCCCGTGGGTGGGCCTGCTAGAGTCAGGAGGGTTCTGATGTCTTGGTCGTGCAGAAACACACACATTGGTACATGATTCACCTGTGCAACCAGCCTTTTTGTTTGATCATTTGGTTTACTAATGGATAATCCAGGACAGCATTGCTGCTGCTTCTGTTATGAGGAAACTAATTTGAAGTTGTTCTGTGAATGTTTTGAACAGAGTTTGAAGGCAGAATATAGTCTCTGTGTTTGAAAAACTACACTGCTTGTTGAATAACCACAGATTTTTGTCACTGTGTTTTAGTAGGGTACCAAAAGACCAAGTTCCATCAAGGCAGGGCTCATACTCAACAAGTAGAAGGGGGCCCATTTCCCAGGAGGAATTTGCATTCCTGTCTCATCTTAAAAACTCCCATAATGTTGGCTGGTGTAGGGAGTCTCCTCTACTGCAATGGGTCAGCTGGAGCTGTATTGAAAAGGGCACTAGGCTCAGGGGTCTTCCTGAGTCCACCTCTCCTTCCTGACTCTTCTCTGTTCAGCCAATGATGTCACTCTCTGGTTCCTGGAGACATTTATGTTTTTGACAATGAGAATCGTTGTTACAGTTTTCTGAAAAATGACTCATATTATGCCTTCCCAATTCACACCCACATTCTTTTAAATTTTATTCACAGCATATCTCATAAGATTTATTGGATTATTCCTTAGATAAATTTGCTCTGTACATTTTCACCTACCCTCATTTGCCTCCAGAACAATACAAATGATCTAGTTTCATATTGAAGACTTTCAGGAGAGAATCTCTGTATATGAGGCCTGAATAATTATAAGTGTATGTTAATCAAAACATACTGTAACTTCAATGTGTGCGTGTGTACGCACGTCACGTGCCCGCTTGAAATTGAAACCAGGGTCTTCTGAATGTTAGGCAAACACTCTACTATGGAGCTACATCCAAAGCCCCACTTCAATGTACTCCAGACTCTATTCAGTGTACACCAGACTCTATTCTTTTTGGCTCTAAAAGAATAGAATCTGGTGTACAACCAGAGATATGAAAAATTGTGCTCTATATGTGTAACATGAATTGTAATGCATCTTGTTGTCATATATAACAAATTAAAATTAAAAACAGAATAGAGTGTCTTTTTATGGGCTCTTTGTTATTTTGTTAGCGTAACCTCCATCACAGCCCAATTCAATGGCACATTTTTCAGACAAGTTCATGCTTCCATTGAGAAAAATAGCCAGAATTATACCTTACTAAGTTACTTTAAAAAAATTGATAAACATCATAAGATATTTTCTCAGAAAAATACTTCTGTATTTTTAATAAGCATTTATCAAAAAGAACTAAAATCAGCTTACTATAGTGATACARGAACATCAATGTTTATAGCAGTGCAATTCACAATAACCAAGTAAGGGAACCAGCCCAGGTGCCCATCAGAAGATGAATGGGTGAAGAAAATGTGGTACATATACACAATGGGGTTTCACTCAGCCATAAAGAAGAATGAGATTATGACATTTATTGGTAAATATACAGAACTAGAGCATATCAGAAAAGTGAAATAAACCAAACTAAGAGAGTCAAGGATTGAATGTTTTCTCTGATAAGGGGAAGCTAGAGTATGATGAGGGAAAAAGGGTGTGTGTGTGTAGAGGGAACCTCATGAAAATCGAAGGGAGRTCAGTGGAGTAGAGGAACAGTATTGAGGCAGAGGGAGGAAGGACAGGAAAAGAGAGGAATTGTGGAATGAAATTGATCAAATTATGCTGTGTACATATATGAATGTACCACAGTGAATTCCACCTTTATGTATATCTATACAGCACCAGTTGAAAAGCAATAAATAAATAGAAGGAAGAACAGTAGAGTAGAGGAAGGAGAATAGGGAGGAAGAAT